TCGAGGGACGACTCTACGTTTCTTTAGGGACGACTCTACGTTTCTTTAGGGACGACTCTACGTTTCTTTAGGGACGACTCTACGTTTCTTTAGGGACGACTCTACGTTTCTTCAAGGGATGGCTCTACGTTTCTTTAAGGGACTGTCATGGACTAATTATTTATATCTGTTTCCCTTGACACTGTCCATCACTCTTATCTTTCTGATAGCTCCGGACGACTCCGCAATGGACTGAACTCAGACTCTTTGGGCTGGGAGCCCTGTGATAGGCTGGACAGTACATTTGGCAAGCTGTGATTGGTTGTAAACTGTCACATGGTGTTGACATGATGTATATTATTGGCTGTATTCTGCTGACGCGTTCAGTCGCAAGCATGCAGAACTTCCTGATTCAGTTCTGTTTGTTTGTTGCTCACAATTAAATCATATTTGATTATCATATACCCAGACTTTTCTGGTATTATTCCAACGTGTTTCTGCTTTTGCGACGACAGGGACGACTCAACGTTTCTTTAAGGGACGACGCTACGTTTCTTTAGGGACGACTCTCCGTTTCTTCGAGGGACGACTCTCCGTTTCTTTAGGGACGACTCTCCGTTTACAGTTATTGGTCTGTTGAGATTATTTTGCACTGAAAACAGGCAATTTCTGATTCCTAATGTTAGATTCTGATAGACTCTAAAACAAAACATAGTTTTCTAGCCTTACACAGTTCTTTATATTTTTATTATTAGTAGTTGTATCATGGCTAGTCAGTGTTTATATTTGTTTTGTGTGCACTATCTATAGTTTGCAAAGTAACTAGTGTGTGAACCTCTGTACAGATGCTGCTTTGACACCTCAATTTCCCCTCGGCGGGACAATAAAGCCTATTTCTATTCTTCTATTCTATTCAGCTACTAACACACCAAATTTAGCTCAATGTCTGTGAAAATCTACTGGGTTATAACCACTTTTGTGTTGGCTAAGGTTGTAGACATCTTGAATTGGGTTGAATACAAAACTTAAAATCAGTTGACATCCAATTCAGAAAAAAGTCAAACGGTCAAAAAAAAAGCCATGAAAAATGTGAGGGGAAAAAAAAGAAATACAAGGAGGTGAGACAATAAATCAGAAATGGGAAACAGACCAACACAAGGAACAGAAACAGAAACAATGAGGATATGTGAGGAGGAGGAGGAGGAGGAGGAGGGGGACGCGAAAATCTGGAAAAGTTCAACTCCTGAGAGTTTCCAGGAAGAGCTTCACGCCAAACTGTAAACTTGGAGAGAGAAGAGACGACAGGACATGTGCAGAACGTTACGCCACACTTTGTCTTTAAGTAGGAGAAAGAAAAGAAAAAAGTTTAGAGCCATTTTCTATTAAACGAGAGCAAAGCCAAATGACATATCAAATTTTAAAGGTGGTGGGCAGAGAGAGGGAGGAGAATAAAATGCTGAGTAGGGCTGGAGGAGACGGACGGTGACTGAGTCAGTATAAATGTATGTGGCTGTGTGAGTCATAACCCCTGCCTCCTCTGCAGAAAGATGGATGTGGTTTCCAGGCTGACGGAGAAGAATGAGCTAATGAAGTTCTCCAGGTCGCCTCAGTGAGACAAAAAGGGAAAAAATAACAGAGTGAGAGGGAAATGAAAGAGCGGGGACTGTTCACGGCAGGAAATGACAAGAGCTTGAACAACGGCGAAACAAAAAAGAAAAAAAAACTGGAGAATAAGAAAAGATTGACGGAGAGAGAAGAAACTCAATACTGATGGGTGTTGGGGAAGAAAAGAGGCCGCTAAACACCTAAAGATGGAAGCACTGACGTGTGCGCTCTGTCCAGCTGTTCATTAAACAGGTCTGCTGCTAATTAGGCTGCAATGAGGTCACCCTGATCCAGTCATTGATTCCACTTCCTGTTTCAGGCGGCCAATAGCCAGCAGCTGTCAGGTGGGCACCTGAATTCTCCAGAATGATAAATGGCACGAGCGCCGGGGCCAAAATCAACAACTCTCAGCCGCAGACAAACACGGTGAGCTCAGTTATTGGCCGGTCAGCACTGAACCGGGTCTCCAGGGGAACTGCATAAACGTTTAAAGAAGGCGAGATGAATGGGGTAAAAGCAAAAAGGAAATGTCAAAGACGCGGCAACAGTAAACAGAAATTTGCTCCAGTTTGAGACTGGTCTCCTCCCACATCCTGCTCCATCCCCAGTGGGAGTCTGCGGAGAAAGATTAGCTCCGAGGCAATCTTTGGAAATCGGTGAGGGACTGCCGCAGTCATAAATCCAATCAGAGGTGAAGTCCTGCACGCCGCCTCCCCCCAAACCACCAGTCCACGTGTGAACACAACCCACACGTCTGTGAGGACAGACTGGAGCTGGACGCTGACAATAATCAACCGTAAAGACTCTCTGGAGACCCTCCTGAAACTGCTGCAAACACAAAACAGACCAGGAGGGAGTAGGTGAGCTAAGAGACCCTCCGTGAAGGTAAAGAGGTGGGTTTGTGTGCGCAGGAAGCTGTGTGACCTACTTCCTTTTTAACCAGCAGCCTCCTAATTTTAGCAGAATTAGCTGAGCTGTATGAGGCGGCTCGGGACGTGGGTGGCGTAGGCAAACGCTAAGGGTGTCGTCCATCTAGGGGGCGCCACAAACGGAGAACGAAAACATATAATTTATAAGTTTTTAATCAGAAAGTTGATTCATCTGTAGAAAAATCACTGGTTACTCAGGTTTTTCAACTTGTTTTTAGGGTTTCTCAGCTGCTTTGTTACTACGAGGTGTTTAAGGTGCAGAGGATAATTCATGACTGTTGCTCAGTGTGTAAACAGAAAACAGAAGAAGAAGAATAGAGGTTTCAGTTATGATCTCAGGTTAAAGTCAGGTTTTTAGTGTTCTACCTTCATAAAAACTGATTTTATGTTTCATTAATGCCGAGGATTTGGTAAAATCCTCTTCAAATGGCTGGAAAATGCAGAGCTTTGAGTAGATCAAAATATTCAAGGGGAGTACACCCCTAGACGCTCCCTAGAACTGCTTCACTCCACAGCTGCTGGTTAACATGAACATTAATGTCATAAAATGTTGGCAGGTAAGAGGTAAACATCCTGTATTCCGTTTCAAATTAATTATATTTTAATTGGACAAACTGGTTTCTAAAGATAAAAACTAATATCAAAAAACAAAGCTATTTAATTTGGTTTATGACTGTATTTAAATTAGCAGTGAAAATTAGAAAACTGAACAAGTGGCACCACCTGAAATCTTGCCTAGGGCGCTGAAATGGCTAGAGACAGTCCTGAGGTGGCATCAGCAACGGAAAGGATATAAATAAATAAATAAAACAAGGAGAATAATAAGAATGTTTTTTAGTTTGAATTTTCAATTAAAATAATATTAAATTGAAAAACAAATTGATGAATCTCAGCTCCTGAATTTCGTTTTAAAAGTCTGATCAAGTCTGTTTTTCCTCATTTCTTAGTTTTCTTTATTTTTGTGCACTTTTAAAGTATTTTCAAATTGTTTATTTGTTGTTAGAAAGCACATAGCGTATGAAAATAAGTTGCTACACAAATAAAGTTTGACCCGACTGCTTCAGTCGATACAATAATCAACTCTAAATCTCCGGTCGTGTCAACGGTCTCTCCTCTGATGAAAGTGTTTCAGGCTTTTAAAAACCCTACAAGTAGAAGACGTTCAGAACATAATAAAACGTGAATTAATGAAAAGTAATTTCATAAATCTAAGAGACAGAAGAAGATGAGACCATCTGAAAAAACCCAGCCGTTATTCCTGAACCTAATAAAAACAAACTCAGCAGATGTCAAATAAGCCTGAAATAAAATCCATGTGAAATAAAATATTACAGCCTGTGAAAAAAGAAAATATCCTCGCTCAAACGGGCGTTAAATAATGGAGTAAAAGCAGTTCATTTTTTTAATAAAACGACTCATTAATTCTACATAAAATAACAGTTTAAGCTCTGAAACTGGAAAAAAGGTGGCAGGAGGTTTTGGATTCAAGAACAAATTATAGATGTGCTCTGCAGATTATAAATTTGTATATAACTGTACAAAACGATCCACAATTTGACAGCAAGAATTTTTAAAAACTCAAGATTTTTCATGAAAATGTTTTATTTTATTTAATTAAAGTCTTATAAAATATATACAAACTATTAAGATTAGAGTG